ATACCGCTTACTTTAATTGCAAAATTTTTGCCGCGCATACCGATTAAAAACCCGCTCACCGATTTTCGTCCGAGACGCGTCCAATGTGCGCCCTCAGCCAGCCTCACATGTGCCGCCCGTGCCATTGTTTACCAGCCAGCCTCCGCGGTAACATCCAAGCATACACTCGGAATATTTCGTATTATTACAGTGTTTTCGGTGCTGTTTCTGGAAAATAAGTGACCATGGGCCCCAAGAAAGCTTCTAGTGCCAACCCTGTGGTAAAAAGGGTGAGAATTAGTATGGAAATTAAGAAAGATTTTGAAGGGTTTGGGGCTAACCCTGAGAAGCCTATGCCAGTTGTGGAATCCATTGTGCCTACTTCAAAAATTAAGGAAATGTGTGCACAGTGGGTTGAACTGCAAACCTTTATGGATGAAAATCACCCTGACACAGCTGTTGCAAGCCTTGCTGGTGACTATTTCAATGACAATGTTGTGGCCCATTTTAGACAAATCGTAAAGGAACGGGAGGTACAGAGCTCTATGGACAGATTTGTTGTGCAACAGAGGTCCAGTGACTCTCAAGCTGGTCCTAGTGGCATTAAAAGAAGAAGGGAAGTAACCCCGGAAAAGGACTTGCTACCTCAAGTCCTAATGGAAGGGGATTCCCCTTCTAAACAATAAGTTCGACACTCTCCCCTCCTCCCATCCCATCAATCATCACCAGATCTTCAATAAAAGTAAGTGTCATGTAAGTGTTTATGCCTTTTTCAGTTTGTGTGTATTAAAATTAACATTTCATGTGGTAAAAAAATTTTTTTTTCATACTTTTGGGTGTCTTGCACGGATTAATTTTATTTCCATTATTTCTTATGGGGAAAATTCATTCACATAACGATTATTTCGCATAACAATTACCCCTCTTGCACGGATTAAAATCGTTAACTGGGGGTCCACTGTATAACAAGCTAGAAGTGTGGCAAATTTGGTGCTCCTGTCACAAAGTGCGCATTTGTAATGTTATTTTTGGTAATGCAATCCAATTAAAAACTAAAATGGAAAACACTAGAATAAAGAGAATATATGTTCTATATGGGTGTGAAGCATGATGATGAATGGTGCAACAAGAAGGCTGGAGGCAGGGGAGATGTCATGTCTGAGGGCAATGTGTCGTGTGAATATAATGCAGAGAATCCAGTTTGGAGATTAGGAGGAGCAGGCTTACCAAAACTGAGGAGGGGTTATTGAGGTGGTTCTGACATGCAGAGAGGATGGAACAAAATAGAATGACTTTGAGAGTGTATAAATCTGTAGTGGAGGGAAGGCAGCTTAGGGGTCAGTCTTGGAAAGGCTGGAGGAGGGAGTAAAGGAAGTTTTTGTGTGTGAGGGGCTTGGACTTCCAGCAAGCATGTGTAAGTGTGTTAGACAGGAGTGAACGGAGACAAATGGCTTTTAGGACTTGACGTACTGTTGGAGTGTGAGCAGGGTAACATTTACGAAGGGATTCAGGGAAACCGGCAGGCTGGACTCGATTCCTGGAGATGGGAAATACAGTGCCGGAACTCTGAAGGAGGGGTGTTAATGTTGCAGTTTTATAACTGTAGTGTAAGGATGTCTCTGGCAAGACAGTGATGGAGTGAATGATGATGAAAGTTTTTCTTTTTCAGGCCACCCTACCTTGGTGGGAAACAGCCAATGTGTTAATAATAAAAATAATATGTTGTATACAAAATACTTGCCACAAGACTGTATCAAAAACTACATGAAGGAGGATATGGCACTGAATTTTTTTGTTTTTTTTATTCATTTCTATATTTGAATAGGCATTCCTGTCGTATTATCATATAAAAGTTCATTAAGATCTGCCAACACACAAATTAATGAAAAAATATATACTTGGATTTGGCAGGAAGATCTGACCTGGCACTGCCAAAAGTGTGTTTGGCTCTCCCTTCTGATACACAAGTAATCCGCACAAAGGAGAAGGCAGCTTACGACGATGTTTTGGTCCAACTTGGACCATTTACAAAGTCGCTTTGTAAATGGTCCAAGACCATTTGGACCATTTACAAAGTGACTTTGCAAATGGTTCAAGTCGGACCGACACGTCATCGTAAGCTCCCCTCTACTATGTGCGGGTTATTTGTGTACTCTTCCAGTCACGGTATTGTGTCTGTGTTACTCCCTACTGAAAAAATTTCCCTTATTTTCATCCCTCCAAAATAAAGTTGGAAGATTTTTGAAATTTAGTAAAAATTGGCCCTTTACTCCTCCACAAATGAAAAAAAAAAAAAAGTGCCATTTGCAAAAAAATTTCACGAGTTTGCTAAACATTCACTGTTGAATGCTGGGGAAAATCCTTTTAATCTGTTCATTAATAATGGATGATTTTCAGTAAATGGGTCAATAACTTCTGAGATATCGAGGAAAACCCAGCCCATCATATTATTTGTGAGTATTTTTTTGGGGGGAGGGGGTGGAAATCACACTACGAGTCTTGGCATATGGGAGGAGTATTCTTCTAGAGCTCCCCAGTGATATGCTCTTTTTCTATAGTATTAGTGGACCAGAGAAAGTGTAAAATTATAATCATTTAGCACTTTAGCACTTGGATGACGAACTCTCCTCTGTATTTGGATGTTTGTATTATGTTTGTATGGTATTTACTGTATGATTCATATAATTTTGGAAGATATGTGATATATATAAATAAATACAACTGTCTATAATAGCATAAAAAAAAGAATATTTTATTGTGCCATGAAAGAAGCTGCTAAACTAGTGATCAGTGGATATTGAAAAAGGGAAGAAGAAATTAAGTTGAGGAGTGAAAGCATCAAAGAAAGTAAAAGTGGGAAAATGGCAGGTGGGAGAGGGGTGAGGGTTGCCATAATCATATTTATATTAATTCTGCAATTCACTGCAGAAGGAAATCGTTCATGGAGGTTGGAAAAGGTGACTGGAGTAATGGCACCCTTGACAATGAAAGCCCCACAGTTGCCATCCCGTCAACAATGAAAGTGTCACTATGGCTGCAATGTACGGCAACACTGCACCTAAACAAGCAAAACAGTGGTGCACTGCACTAATTGTAGCACTGTTATGTGGTGATACTCAAACTAATCCAGGACCCCAAACTAATGTACAGGTGCAAACAAGACAAATAAGGTGCCTTGTGTTCACTGTGGTAAAGGTGTGGGCAGCCACAGTCAAGCTATTATCTGTGGTGTGAGGAATGCATCCACGTGAGATGCTCAGACAGAATAAGTGATGAAGAATATGATGCATGCTTAGGTCAACATGAGGCCACAGAGCCATGGGGGCATTGATCCCCAGAACTCCCTGCAGGTTGAGTCCACTTATTTTTCAGATAGCATGCTGTAGAAAACAGCTGAGGCCTGATAATGTTATGCCAATGTGCTACTTATGTTAGTTAAACATTTGAAGACAGTCAACAGCATCCCAACAAGGCCGTTTGCTTATTTTATGATATAAGGAGCACTCAGGAAAAAGGTAGGATTCATGCCCATGGCAAACTAGTCCTAAATCTGGCTAGACGGTGCTCTCACTAGTGTTCTATGCTGGCTAAACAAGCTTCTTCCAATTAGGTTTATTTCTGTACAACAGAGAGGTTAGCATGGGCCTTTAAATGACCATAAATACAAGTTTGTATGGACAAAGATCTCACTCCACCCACATGGCTGGAATGAGATCTAGCTGAAATCCCTTCAAAACTATTATCAAAGACATGAGAATCGTCATGACATGATTGTAAAAAATACTCAGGGAATGAGTTAGGTTCAAACCCCTTCTAAGCACTGGTGAGAGCAATACTCTGTGAGATTTAGGAATAGTTTGCCATGGGTATAAACCAAGCCAGCTCCCTAAGTTTTTTACAACAATTATATTTTACAAATTTCACAAGTTATTAACAATGACTTTGCTGGACTTGAGCTAGATCTCACCTCCACTATGTGGGAGTAAGAGTCATGATCATAGTTTGACCCCTGCTAACCTCTCTAGTGTATAGAAAAATACCTAGTTAAAGGATTCTTATCAGCCTGCGTGGACTATCAGAGTGAACATTGACTAGCTAGTTTTAGACCTGGCTCAGATCCTGCCCATTTCAGTTTACCATACCTTTATTACTTTTTTCATAAGTCCTTTACTAGTGTTCTTATCATATTTACTGTTAATATATTAACAAAATAGTGGGTGGGTTGTATCTCATAACATCACTACACACCCAGGTTAGCTTCTCCAACAAATTTATATTTTCCTTTAAAAACACTCACCTAAAAATAAGCATTTTCTGTTATTGATTGCAAGAGTAACCTCACTAGCAATTTCAGGTGATTCCATGGGAGGGAAAGGATCATTTGTAAGTACACAATAAGCATTGTGTTTTTGGTCTTAGCCCTTTTGGGCTCTCAGCTCTACTGCAGTGTTCCTTTTTCTTTTCCTCATACTATTACTATTGCCACCCTTCTCTCCCCTTTCTATCTCTTGTGGCACAAACTACTCCACCATCTACTTCTACTACTACTACTTCTTCCACCACCAGCATTACCACTACCACTACTTCTCTTTCCTCCTCTCTTTCTCTTGTCCCTGTCCTCCGCACCTATGTATACTGCTTCACTCAGTCTCTTCTGTCAATGTGACTTGTGAATGGTCCAAGACGGACCGAAACGTCATCAAAAGCTTTTCTCTCTCCTACGTACGGGTTATTTGTATATTGTTCCAGTTACAGTTATGTGCCTTTTTGTTCTCTATGAGTACTGAACATCTAATTAAGCCAGATCACATTAGAAAAAATATTTCATTGTAAAAGAAGTGATGTGGTAAAACAAGATCGAAAGAAAGTGAAAGAAGGTGGCTGACTTCATACATGGATTTAAAACATTAGCAGATTAAAACTTATTAAGCAAGCCCAGGAACTGAAGCATAATGCATATGTACATTATCTTTTACTATACACCTTGTTTGCCCTCCATTTACAACAACCTAGTTTGCTGTCTTATAAAAAGTTTCTGGGGTCATCACACTTGTGGCCAGGTCTCAGACTAGGCTAATCAATTGGAAAGGAAATATTAGATGAATAAGAGGTCAAGAAACACTGCTAACCATGGCACCTCAAGTACGAGGTCAGTACAGAGATAATGATGCAGCATGCAGCCAGGCACACTCACCTGTATGGATGAAGAAGACATTTCCCTCATTGACCTGAGCTTGGGTGAACGCTGACACAGGGTGGGTAATGTTTGATGAAATCGCCAGGTATCCAGTGTCTGGGGTGGTTACGGTGATGCTCAAATTCTCTGGAGGTGTGTCTAGGTCAAACACAGCTGTGGAGAAGACCATGCCGTTGATTTACTTGTACATATGTAATATTTAGGTATACAAGAAAGGTATTATCCTATGATGATATTATATGTTGCTTTAATATTTACTCTAAGACTTCGTTTATATTAGCTTTCACTACACACACACACACACACGCACACCTGGAACGGAACAAGAGTATAAACACCAACCAGCACAGATTTATGGAAGGCAAATCCTGTGTCACAAACCTACTGGACTGCAAGAAGGCCTTCGACACAGTTCCTCACAGGAGATTGGTGCAGAAGCTAGAGGATCAGGTGCGTATCACAGGAAGGGCGCTGCAATGGATCAGAGAATACCTGACAGGGAGGCAACAATGAGTCATGGTACTGTGATGAGGTATCACAGTGGGCACCTGTGACGAGTGGGGTCCCACAGGGGCCGGTCCTAGGACAGCACTATTTCTGGTATATGTCAATGACATGATAGAAGGGTTAGACTCAGAAGTGTCCCTGTTCGCAGATGATATTAAGTTAATGAGGAGAATTAAATTAGATGAGGATCAGGTAGGACTTCAAAGATACCTGAACAGGCTGGACACCTGGTCCAACAACTGACTTCTCGAATTCAACCCCACGAAATGCAAAGTCATGAAGGTCGGGGAAGGGCAAAGAAGACCACAGACAGAGTATAGGCTAGGTGGCCAAAGACTGCAAACCTCGCTCAAGGAGAAAGATCTTCAGGTGAGTATAACACCGAGCACATCTCTGGAAGCACACATCAACCAGATAACTGCTGCAGCATATGGGCACCTAACAAACCTGAGAATAGCATTCTGATACCTTAGTAAGGAATCGTTCAAGACACTGTACACCATGTATGTCAGGCCCATATTGGAGTATGCAGCACCTGTTTGGAACCCACACTTGATCAAGCACGTCAAGAAATTATAGAAAGTGCAAAGGTTTGTGACAAGGTTAGTTCCAGAGCTAAGGGGAATGTTCCACAAAGAAAGGTTAAGGAAAATCAGCCTGACGACACTGGAGGACAGGAGGATTAGGGGAGACATAACAACATACAAAATACTGTGTGGAATAGACAAGGTGAACAGAGACAGGATGTTCCAGAGAGGGGATACAGAAACTAAGGGTCACTCTTGGAAGTTGAAGACCCAGATGAGTCAAAGGGATGTTAGGAAGTATTTCTTCAGTCATAGAGTAGTCAGGAAGTGGAATAGCCTAGCAAGTGAGGTAGTGAAGGCAGGAACCATACATAGTTTTAAGATGAGGTATGATAAAGCTCATAGAGCAGGGAGAGAGAGGACCTAGTAGCACTCAGTGAAGAGGCAGGGCCAGGAGCTGAGTCTCGACCCCTGCAGCCAGAATTAGGTGAGTACATACACAAACACACACACAGAGTTAAGGCCAGGTAATCAGGCTGAGGAAGGAAGGTGGAGAGTTCACAAGAAATGATCAAGAGGTATGTGAGGAGCTCAACATGAGATTTAAAGAGGTATTTACAGTGGAGACAAGAAGGACTCCAGCAATTCAGAATAGGGAGGCACACCAACAAGTGCTGGATGAGATACACGCAACCGAGGAGGAGTTGAAAAAGCTGCTATGTGAACTTGATACCTCAAAAGGCGGTGCGACCAGACAACATCTCTCCATGGGTCCTTAGAGAGGGAGCAGAGATGCTGTGTGTGCCACTAACAAAAATCTTTAACACATCCATTGAAACTGGGCAACTACCTGAGGTATGGAAGATGGCAAATGAAGTTCCAATTTATAAGAAAGGAGACAGACACGAGGCATTAAACTACAGACCTGTGTCACTGACGTGTGTAGTATGCAGAGTCATGGAGAAGATCATCAGGCGGAGAGTGGTGGGGCACATAGAAAGACACAAGCTTATAAATGACAACCAGCATGGTTTCATGGAAGGAAAATCCTGTGTCACAAACCTACTGGAGTTTTATGACAAGGTAACAGTAATAAGACACTAGGGAGAGGGGTGGAAAGACTGCATTTTCTTGGACTGCAAAAAATCCTTTGACACAGTTCCTAAAAAGATGTTAATGTAAAAGCTACAGGATCAGGCACGCATAACAGGAAAGACACTCCAATGGGTCAGAGAATGTCTGACAGGGAAGCAACAACCAGTCATGGTATGTGACGAGGTGTCAGAGTGGGCGCCTGTGATGAGCGGGGTTCCACAGGGGTCAATACTAGGACCTGTGCTGTTTTTGCTATATCTGAATGACATAATGAAAGGGATAGAATCAGAAGTGTCCCTGTCTGCAGATGATGTGAAGTTAATGAGGAGAATTAAATCAGTCGAGGATCAGGCAGGACTACACAGAGACCTGGACAGGCTACAAGCCTGGTCCAGCAACTGGCTCCTTGAATTTAACCCCGCCAAATGCAAAGTCATGAACATCGAGAAGGGCAAAGAAAACTGCAGACAGAGTATAGTCTAGGTGACCAAAGACTGCAAACCTCACTCAAGGAAAGAGATCTTGCAGTGAGTATAATATCAAGCACATCTCCTGAGGCACACATCAATCAGATAACTGCTGCAGCATATGGGCATCTGGCAAACCTAAGAATAGCATTCCGAAACCTCAGTAAGTAATCATTCAAGACCCTGTACACCATATACGTCAGGCCCTTATTGGAGTATGCATCACCAGTTTGGAATCCACACCTTGTTAAACATGTCAAGAAATTAAAGTAAGTGCAAAGGTTTGCAACAAGAACAGTTCTAGAGTTAAGGGATTGTCCTACAAAGGAAGGTTAAGGAAAATTGGCCTGACTACACTGAAGGACAGGAGGGTCAGAGGAGACATGATAATGACATATAAAATACTGCGAGGAACTGACAAAGTGGACAAAGACAAGATGTTCCAGAAATGGGACACAGAAACAAAGAGTCACAATTGGAAGTTGAAGACTCCCATGAGTCAAAGGGATGTTAAGAAGTATTTTTTCAGTCGCAGAGTTGTCTGGAAGTGGAATAGCCTAGAAAGTGACATAGTGGAGGCAGGAACCATACATAGTTTTAAGACAAGGTTTGATGAAGCTCATGGAGCAGGGAGAGAGAGGACCTAGTGGCAATCAGTGAAGAGGTAGGGCCAGGAGCTATCACTCGACCCCTGCAACCACAAATAGATGAGTACAAATAGGTGAATACACACATACATACACACTAACACACACACACACACACACACACACACACACACACACACACACACACACACACACACACCACACACACACACCAGGAGCTGAGTCTCGACCCCTGCAACCACAATTAGGTGAGTACACAGGCCTAGTGTCTAATCGACATGTGCCTAGGACAAAATGGTAACTAACTAACTACTAACACACACACAGCAACAAGAAAAACCAAGGGACAGGAGGAGGAAGCTGCAAAGGAAGATTGGGCAGCAGAGCTCATAAAAAGGGATCATGAATGGGAAAAGAAACTAGAAGAACTTAGCATGAGAATGGAAGAGAGGATAGATCTGGAAAGCAGGAAGTGGGAGGCGCATGTCAAAGCAGCAGAGGCTAGGATACAGAGTTTAGAAGAGGAACTGAAAAATCTGAAACAGCCTAAAGAACTAAAGAACATTTTGGGATTGACAACAGTGACTGCTACCTCAGTCACAAATAAGGGGACAGTAGGGAAAGAAGGGGCACAACTGCATGGAGAATCTCTATCAGAGGAGACTGTAGTAAATGAAAGAGCTAAGCTTTATGTGGAGGCCCTAACAGACAACAACAGAGCCCAAGGAAAACCGAGAAGGGAAAATGACAGGCCACTGAGCCCAAGTACATTAGCCAGTGAAACTGAAGAAAGGAAAGCTGCAGTGGAGGAAACCAAATTAAATGAGGGGATACACAGGGATATGCAGTGGGAGAATGAAAGGGTGAGGTTAGTCTTTGTGTATGGGCTCCAGGAAGTTGAAGGGGAAACATATGAAGCAAGAAAACAAGGGGAAAAAAAGCAATTGAAAGCATCATGAAAGCAATAGGAGAAGACATGACCCAGCTGGAAAATTTTCGGAGAATAGGGGGGTTTGTAAAAAAAAGAACGCGGCCAGTGAAAGTGACCTTCAAGGCAGAAGCGACTCGGACCAGGATCCTGCAGGAGAAAGCACGATTAAGGGACATGCCGGCATACAGGAAGGTGCATCTCGACTGCGACAGAACACAAGAAGAAAGGCAGAAACTGAGAGAGATGGTACAAAGGTGAAAGGAGGAAAGAGAGGGGATGGAGAAGACAGACAGGAGATCCCAGACCCAGGAAGAAGATCAAATACAGCCTCCCTCACAACTTCCTATAGAAGCCTCCCAACCAGGTCAACCCCAGTGCAACCAAACACTCTAAATCAAAACACCCATGCCACATCCAATGCCCCCACCCACTACATTACAAACTCCACCCCCACAGCAACAACCCATAGTTCCTTACCAGGTCTCCCACTTCCCCAACCCCAATATACCTCCCAGACCACAGTCTTAGAAAAGAAGTTGAGGGTGTGGTATACAAATGCAGATGGAATAACAAACAAGTATGAGGAGTGGCACAAAAGAATCAAGGAGACATCCCCAGACATAATAGCACTCACAGAAACAAAACTCACCAGAATAATAACAGATTCATTCTTTCCATCCGGATATCAAATCCTCAGGAAAGACAGAGGGAGGAGATGGGGAGGAGGAGTTGCACTGCTCATTAAAAACCAGTGGGGTTTTGAGAAAATGGAAGGAATGGATGGCACGGGCGAAAGGGACTACTTAGTAGGAACAGTCCAGTCTGAGGGACATAAGGTGATAATTGCAGTAATGTACAACCCACCACAGAACTGCAGGAGGCCAAGAGAAGAATACGATGAGAGCAACAGAGCAATGATCGACACACTACCCGAGGTGGCCAGGAGACCACACATGGGGGGAGCAAAGTTACTAGTTATGGGTGATTTCAATCACAAGGAGATTGACTGGGAAAACCT